CCCCAAAACCCCAAAACCCCAAAACCCCTTGAATCCCTCATTATAGTAATTTGAGTTGATATATTAAACAATTAGAGAATAACAATGCTTGATATATAGTGAGAGATTATTTATGTAATAAATGTTGATAAATGAATATTGCGAAAAAAAGTTTGAATTAAATTTTTAGAACTTAGGAGCATGATTCAAACTGGTAGAATAAGAATAAATCATTCCAATCTGGATCACCTCTATTATCATCCAAAGCAGCTTTTTCAGGTATCTCAGAGGTTGATATACTTCTCCTTGTCATATATCTTTTGATAAAGTTCGTTGAAGTCTCTTATTAGATTTGATTGTTTGAATGGATCTAAGTTAATGAATTTATTACCGGGGAAAATATCTTACATTCGGGTTCTGCATAAGAGCCATCTTGTTGTTTGAGTTTGTTATTAAGTCTCTCCCACTTCTTATCGAAGTTCTTTCTGTCATCCTCGTCTTGTTTGACTGCGAACTGTTTCTTTTGGTTAGCATTCATTCTAAGAGCCTCCTCGAAAGCAAATGGATCGATTTCCTTAAGAATAGTCTTAAGAGCGATTAAACTCTCTTGCAAGATCCTAATGAAAAAGTCATTAAATTTTATTTATAAGTTACTTGTGCCAGTGGTTATCAGCGAGATCAACAATGACTGGGACGAGCATTGGGAAGGTCTTATCCTTGTAAGTTTTGAGAATGTTCAAGAAGTAATCATTCTCAAAGAAGCACATAGCTCTATCAGCTACCTGCAGGTGGATGCCTCCAATGCATCTAACGATACGCTTGAATAATTTGGGGATTAAGTGCTCAACTTTATCGACTTCACAAACCTCAAGGACTTCTTGTAGCTCAGTCAAGAATAATGTCTCCTTAATGCAGTTGGCGAAGGGCCAGTACTTCAACAGACCTTCTAGAAGTGGAATAGCGAGGGTTCTGTCCTTTGTCAAGAAAAGCATTGAGCATCTCAATAGCTGTTCATAGAATTGGGAGCAAGTTTGAACCTTATGAAGAGGAATGATAACATTTTTGAAGAAAATAACGTGCTCATCTCTTAGAGGTACCGCGAATCCACTGATAATAGATGCGAGAATATCCAAAAGCTCAGCAGCTCCATTGAATTTATGAGTTTCGTGAATCAAAGAGTAGAAGCACTCGTTAATTGCCTTTCTGATCATCTTTCTTCTGGGCACCAACTATATTTAACAGATTAGTTCATTTGCTATTCATTTCGAAATTTTTGTCAGAATCAATATAGATCCAACTTGGTGCGAAAATTACCTTAGCGTAAAGCTTATGGAGGATATTCTTCAGATAGTCTCTCTCAACTGATTCCTCAGAATCGAAAAGCTCTAAGAATTCTTGGACGAATTATGGGGTCACATAGACTTTCAATGATTTAACATCGACGGCTTCATTTATGACAAGTTATAGGAAAAATTCGTAGATTCCTTGTAAATGGGGCCAAGCTGGATCGACCTCTTCCTCTTGGTCCATACCTGTCTCTGAGAAGGCCAGGTTTTTCTTATTAACGTTAGGTAATGGTCTGAAGATGTTTTTCTCTATCATTTGCATGACCTCGTCTAAATTAGGAATAATAAGAGTGGCAACATTCTTTTGATCACTAAGCATTTATTGAAGCTCATTGATAGCATTAAGTCTCTCAGTCTATAATAATTTAGTTATGGTAAATTTTAAATATGGATTAATTTGAATTTACCTTGCCTCTCACATCCTTTGTCTCGTCTTTATAATCGTAGTGCTTCATGCAGATTTAAAGCTTCTTCACAAAGGCCTCCTTAGAATTTCTGTCTGCGCAATGATTAAATAATAAGCCTCTGTGTAGACTTGGAATTATACTTACTAGCGGTGGCAGGATTTCTTTGGCCAGAAGCAGTGGTCGTGGTAGTAGTTTTACTTGGTGCTTTGGTTGGAACTGGTTATTTTTGTTTAGTACCTTTCATTAATTTTGAAAATTATAAGATCTTTACTCACCTTCTAATATTATTTATTAATTTTTAAGACTACTCTATGTCTCATCCATTCTTTCATGAGAACATGGGGTTTTGGGGTTTTGGGG